GGGGGGGGGGGGGGGGGGGGGGGGGGGGGGGGGGGGGGGGGGGGGGCCTGTATGTCATGTGCTGGCGGGTGGGCGCGCTCACTGTGTGGAGACAGGACCAATGGCAGACCAGCCCGCCCTGTCTCTGGAGCTAATCATTGTTTACTAGTCTCATTTCCATTTCTCAGTGAGCTACTGTCACGCACAGCACTGACAGGGAGGCAGGCAGAGGGGAAGGGGGGGGGGGGAGTATGGAGATACTGAGGCTGTGGGGAAGAGAAAGCCAGGGATCCAAAAGGCCACTGGGGAGCTGGTGAAACTCAGGAAGGGGAAGAGCGGAATGAATCAGAGCAAAGATTTTCGACTTGGAAGAACAAAGGTGAACTAAGACTGAAAAAAGCCGCAGCCAAAAACAACTCAGACGAGCCAGTAAACAGCCCAACAAAAACATTCTGCGGGCCAACGCCATCTCACAGAGCCGGGGGGTAACCACAGGACAGTGCCAGTTAAAGATGTGATGTCTGCTAGGAGGGCATTTTATTTAGGCAAACCACAGGATAAGAAAAGGCAAACTGAAAATATGTCACTGGATGACCTGTTTGTGTGTAAACAGCCTGAGAAAATAGGGGCAAGAGGAGATATTTCTTTAATTTCAAATGTAATACTTGTGTACGTTAAGATAGGATAACGTTAAGGGTAATGTATGATCCCAGAATTGGGAAATTACGTTATTATTAAGTTATTACTGGTGTGAAGAATTACCTTTGGACAGCTTTAAGTTGGCTGGATCTTTAGTATGAAACCTTTTGAGCTCGCAGAAATTTAGGGATTTAAAGTGGGTTACCTTGTAACATTCTTGTAATATTAAAGCTTTGAAAGCATAGCTGCACATCGTTATTTTTAACATATCGGCACATATGAATGTTTGGAAGTTGTTCTGAACCCCTTGTGTGGTATTACTTTCCCATCAGTCTCAGAACTATTACATGCCCAATGTTTATTTATTCACAAAAGTGGTTATAAGAAACATATTCAAATCTATACTCCCTTGTCATGGGATCATCAAACTGCCGCATGTCTTAATTCAAAATATCAAGAATTAAATGAAAAAACAATCAGTATAACCTGCTTCCATATCTATCACTATGTAGAAAGAATAACCGTAAAATACAAATTAAGATTACTTAAAAAAAAAGAAAGATATGTGGGGTATGACTTCCCAAGAACTTTGCCTCAGTACAGGTAGTAAAGAGTGGATTTACAGATAAGCAAGTAAATAAGTCATGCCTACTGAATTCACAATGAAAGCCTAAAATGAAAATAATTGATTAGAATTGCTGAAAGGGTGAGAAATCTACAGGAGTTCTCGGCGTGACTGTTGTGTTGGATGCTGTGCACATGGAGCTGTCACTGTCAGCAACACTCCACCACCTCAGAGGAGACAAGGTAATTGCATTTTGGAACATGTCCAGAGAATGAATTATTACACTTTTTAAACCCAATTTATGGTATTATTCCTGAAGCTTTAATGCAGCAACCACTCTCGGCGAACCATTTTCATGCTTGACAGGGTAATTAGGAAATAATCGGAGGGACAATGTTAAAGTCGAAACATTAGATATTGGCAGGAGAATGGCCTTCTTTAGAAGTTCTTTTGAAAAGTGGCACATTCATTTATGTTACGATCAAGGCCTGATGGCTTTCAGTGCTGCATTACACACAACATTATTATGTGTGAATTGCTTTTTTCTTTTAAAGCACGCCTCTGTAAACCATTAACACGCAAGTACTCTCAACCAGAAAAACATTCCAAGCCGAATTCTCATTGATAAATTACTATTAGAAAAATGAATAAAAACAAAGATACAGATCTGCAACTTAAAACATTTGAAAATAATTTTTTATCATCAGTAATTTCAGAGCCCCCCCATGTCAGCCAGAGGCAGACAGGCCTGAAATGTCCCTCATTAATAAAGTAACACACTGAGGCGGTATATATCTGCTCCTTTCAGACTGGTCAGTCTGTCTCTTCTCACAGCCTCTTTGATAGGTCCTCAATGAACGTTTTACACATGGCAGGAGCCGTGAATTACCTTCAGATTTGGAATTTTCCTGCGCGCCGCGGGAAGAGGAGCAGGGATGAACTTGCGTGCCATGCCGGCCTGGCGTGCGCAGAGCTCAGCCACTGAACCCTGGCTTCCCTGGGGAGCGGGGGAGGACAGGAGAGGAGGTGTGCGGCTGCACTGAGTAATTAAAATGAGACGAGGGAGAAAGCACAAGAAGAAATGGCTTCCATATGACCCCCTCTTCGCAGTCTCATCCAAGATGTAGTGAAACATAGACACAGTGTGCTATGCATTTTCCCGCCTCTTGTCAAGTTTAGGAATTGCATTGACATATTTGATAGTCTTTCTAAAGGGTTGTTGTTGTTTTGAAATACAGCACTGCATAAAAAGAAAAAAAAAATCTGTTCTTAAGTCTGAACCTCTCTCGTGCAAAGTGTATTTAACCTACTGATCTAATTACATAAATCATAAAACACCAAAGCTGCATATCCATAAGCACAGTGAACCACCAGGAACCTTTCATTTATATTAAAAGTAATACCTTTCCCTCTAAAATGGTTAACTTGTGGTCTCTCAGGGCCCTTCTGTCTTTGTATAACACGTGGCAGAATTGCTTTCAGTACAGCCTCCATTGAATCATGCTCCAGTGTGTGTCATACTGACCGTCATGACTTTTTCCCCCTTTAAATTTCTCACTGATTGTGCCGCACATGGGTTAGTTGAAAATATTTTGTGCATCACTGAAGAAAATTAGAGTGGAGATCTACCTTGACAAAGAAATGACTTGCACATGGAACTATTCCTCAGACAGCTGAGAACCGGAGCGATGACACCCCCTGATCGTTTTCAGAGGAAAGTTTAGTGCATGTACGAAATATTGTCAATACGTGCCATCATTTATTGTCTGTGCTAAAGATTTATTTTTCATCCTTTAGTGGATGCTTTTTCTAAGTAATGTGACAAACACATTTGGGGATTCAAGCGGTTCAAAGATTCAACCAATAAACTTCCATTTGGTGGACAACTACTTCCCAAGATGATCAAAAAGGAGTCATTTAATATGTTTACCAAATGAGGAACACAAAACAGAGGATAATCTAAAAGGACACTTAAAAGATGACATAAACAGTTGTAGTATATTTTGAATACCAAAGATTTGGCCAAAATTCCTAAAAAATACCAGTGGTACGAGGAAAAAAAGTCCTCAGGTTGTGTGCACTGGAATGATGTTTTCCCACTTTTCGGGGCCAAAATTGCATATTTGGAAGCTACTGAGTCTATTGCTCCACTTCTTTGACAGTCGTCTGAAGACAAAGAACTTAAAGTGATTTTCCAGAGGCATGGCCACCTGAATGCTTTGTGTTAAACTCCTTAAACAGTCATTTGACGTTGTCCAGATTTGTAAGAAAATGTTGAAAATCTCTGCTGCTTCAAGGAGATCAGAAGGTCCACAGCTACGAAATGGTGCAAGTTGGGTGGGACAGTTCTGTTTTTATTGAGAATAAAAATGTACTTTGGTTCTCTGCATAATAGTGTTGAATTTAAAAAATGAAAATAATTTCTAACTTAGAATTTTAAAAAGATTGATGGATCATTGACATTGGAATTTAAACAAACCATTGTGTGAGCAAAATAGACAAAACCCACGTTTCACTTGGGTTGTCTCAAAGCAACTCGACTGTTTTGAGACACTGATATGTGTGTCTTTTAATAAATCACAACGGTTTGACGAAGAATATATTTGTCCACCTCAGAGTTGCGTTATTCTGAAATCATCCGCCGATTTACAAACAAATGAATCCCAGATAAGTCTCGTGGTCTGCCTCTTTGGGTGTTGCCGCTGTAACTGAGCTGCCGTGCATGCATGTGAAAAGCAATCCAGAGGTACAGCTCACATCACTGATTCAACCTTGATGTATTCACATGCCTTTTTATCTACTTTCTTAGTCACTGAAAAAGAAAAAAAGAGGGATATCTGACTGTCAAAGCGTTGGAGGGAATCTCAAAAAAGGTTTGAGCGAAAATAGAAGACAAGATCTAAAAAAAAAAACTAACTTTGTGTAACACATCCACTGTGTAGCATCACCCCATACAAATCATCTTTCAGATTTTATTTCACTTTGGCTTGCTCTCCAGTTCCAGCTGCACTGGAGTCGACATCACCCTCTCTGTCAGGCTGAATGCAGCCTGATGCTCAGCCCATGTGGAAATAACCTGGAACCACTGATCTGTTCCCAAAGCGATCGCAGTCTCGCACCCTGATTGTTTGGGTGCAATGCAAACAGACAAAAGGAAAGTTTCATGTCGTTGCAAACAATCAGATACTTTTGTGGAGCATCGTCTGTTCGAGTGACCTGATTATTTATCATCATGCTTTCCTCCTCATGCGCATCCAGCCAAAGAGGAATTTTATGTTAAAAGAAGACATGTGCGGCGATGATATCTGGGCTGTTTTTGCTATTCAGGAAAGACACAAGATCAAACGCTACACTCAGTAGGTTTTTGTCTATATAAGGCGAGCTCGTTTTGGTGCTGCAGTCATTTGCCGGGGAATGTAAACACATAGCCGTTAGCGGGATGGAGAGATAGAAAGTCTAAACTAACGTTCTGGTTTCATCTACTGTTGAACATTTAATCCAAATTCACACCGCACTAAAGTGGACTGGACAGAATGAATGGAGGGGATCATGAATTATTAGTAGTGAAAAACTCCTCCGCTTGATTTTTGTAAACGTACATGATGGATTAAGAAGTTGGGAGCAACACCGTCTGCTGTCTTTTAAAAAAGGAATGAAGGCACTAATGGAGAATAAGGTTTTTCATATTGATAATATTTGCCAATACAGCTATGTTAAAGATTAAAAATCTGTCTTTTGTTTTTTCTTTATTGTAATGCAACAACAAAATACACAGTATGCAAAGATAATCAGAGTTTTTATGAACATTTGAGCCACATTGTCTTTTTGAAAGGGCACAAATACTTTCAACCGCACCACTCTCATAGCCTTTGACACAAAATTATTTTTTATTAAAAAATTATGACCGTCACAAATTAAATTTTGCCATGCTAGAACATTACACATAACCATTCCTCAAATTTCCCCCTTTGAGGGACAAATAAAGGAATACATTTTCCTGTGTTATCACATTTCAGTGCTTCATAGAAAAGCATATGGGTGGTTTAAAAATCCAGTCCAATTCCAGCTAATTAGAATCCAATTAGTTGTAATCCTGACTTGTATCTATATACTAACTCTGAAGAGATTAAACAACACTGTTTTAGAAAATATAAACTTAATCTAACAAGAATATATCACATTTTCAGCATTGTTTCATGAGAAGAGGTGAAAAGTATTTTATTCCAACTTTATGGGAAAGTGTCTGACTTACCCATATGCAATATACTGTATAATTGTTTAAGTTTAAGTTTATGGACAGCTTTGTTAATGGTGTAACTGTAGACATGAGTTCAGCTACTCCCAGACTTCCTCCTGAGGCAGGCTCACACACAAATAACCTGAAAATCTGACCTATAACCCCCCAGCATGGGCTGCCCTTCGTGACACCTTCCAGTGAATATAATGAATGCATAAATCACAGTTTCTTTAGGGGAATGCAAAGCTGCTTTATGAACCGACCAGCCTCAGTGAAAGCACTGTTAGAGGAGTCCCTCTTGTACAATTTATTTTGCGTGCCTCTCAGACTCAAAAAGGAACCCTATACCTCACATCTGGCACAGACCACCTATGCTAGGTGGGTTATTCTATGTCTAGTGAACTAGTTTTTAAAATGTAATTCTTTTAAGTGATGTTCTACTTGAAGGAAAATTTTATGATTGGATTACAGAGTCAATTACCTAAAAAACATAAAATCATTCTGGTGATATAAGACTTTTCAGAAGTCTTACCTCCACCAAGATGGCTATGAGGCCATTGATAGTGTTTATACACAAAAGGTGCGGTGACATGCACCAAATTGGAAAATTTAAACAAAAAAAAAGTGCTCTTAATTCTTCTGTATAGCTGATCTGATAAGCTTTAACATATATAACAATCGTTTACAATTCATGTGCTGTCCATGGTGCTGAACCGTAAAAGTAAATGATCAATTTGGAAGCGATTTGGTAGGCGAAGACGGTAGACCACTGATAAAGATGCAGGGACATGGGTTCTCACAACAGTTTTCCATATTTGTTGTATTGCAAAAGCAAAGTGGAGCTTCAGTCAAATGAAGATTAACTTGGGATGGTCGTCATGTTAGCCTGCTTGTGACTCTTTGCTCATTTCTGCTCCGGTCAAAGTTTATTTGGAAGTTCATTTGAAATAACCTGCCTTCCCTGTTTTAAGACTTTTAAGATGATGCCTATTTCAGTAACAGATGGTTCTAATTGTGATATACTGTATCCATTAGTATAGGTGGACAATCAAGAGCAAAGTGTTTAAAGTCTTTATTTGAAGGATTCTAAAATAATCAGGATTAGTGAGGATGCAGCGGCAGTGGGTTTTCTGGAAATTTGGAATAAGGAAAGATTTCTTATGTCTTAAACACAACAAGGTACGATTTCTATATTTGTGTAAATTGTGTTTATTCACATGGTCTTAAACCTGTTTTTGTGTATGAGTGAACAGACAGACTGATTGTGATGATTCTTTATCGTGAGATGAATTGTGAATTATTTTTGCTGCAAAGCAAAAATAATTTTTAATATTACAAAAGGCATAAATAATCAAACATAATTACCATTGGAAACATCATTTATGGTAACATCTTGAATTTGCTATTGAAGACATGACAGACAAAGAAGATTCCCAGTCTCAACATAGTTTTAATATCTGATGAATAGAGTCCCAGAGGCACAAATTCTGGGTTTAATTCTTTTATTTGAATTTCATCTGGAAACTTTTAGCACCCTCACCCTTAGCTTTGGGCTTTTTGTTTTACATAAATACTAAAACTTTTAAACACATTATAGCCAATAGCTGACACATCTTACTGAAGTCAAATCAACTGTTTTGTCTAATTTTTCAAAACTGAGCGATATCCTTCTTATCACTTTTCGCTCTGTAACAAAGAGGACCTCTTTTTTTTTTACTTCTCTGCTCCCTCGCTTTATTACCTCCATCAGACCTAATTTGGGTTGATGGGGAGGCTGTTGCATGACAAGACAAATGTCTGAGCCCCTGCGTGAGAAGGCTGCTCTCACTCTTGCTGGGTTTGTTTTCTTTGCGTGACCATGTCCCTCCCTCTGTCACTCCTGGCACCTCCCGGCAAGGTCCCCCCTGACCTCATTGGCATGTGGCTGGTTTATTTGTTTTGGCCGGCTGCCCGTGTGAAATCCTGATTCTGAACACCCTCAGGGAGGGGGGGGCATTGGCAGAGGTGTTTGGTGGAGGTGATGGTGTGTGTGTGCCTATGCAGAAACGTTACGAGGGAGGGAAAAGAGCTAATCA